CACGGGGTGAACCCCTGTCGGCTTACCGCAGGCCTATCGGCCTACCGCGGGCCGATCGGCCTGCTGCGGGCCGACAGGGTGTGGACCCACCTCGCGCGGCACGACAGGCTCCCTGCCTCTTCTTCCTCCTCCCACGCATGCGAGGGTTCTTCTTATGTTCTTTCCTTCTCCTCTCTGTACACCAGAATGCCCCCAATTTCTACACCTAAATGAACCATTTATTTGCGGATTTGGCACCGTAAATGGATTCTACTCAGTTAGGGCAACCAAAAGAGACCTCGATCTACTGATGGGGTAGCTCGTGGCGGTCGTGGTGAGCATTTAGGTGGAGTTTTTTTCCAGCTCATTGGTGGAGTTTGTTGCGGCGGTGGAGGTGGAGGTGGTGGTGGAGAAGTTGGGGCAGTGTGGTGGAGGCGGTGGAGGTGAAGCTCCGACAGTTTGGTGGAGTTTCCCGCTCCGATTCCGGTGATTGAAGGCCGTCGTTCGTCGTTCGCACGCACGCTTCAAGGGTATATTTCAACCAACATTTTATTTTTCATAGGTGCTCCGGTAGTATTTGTTAATATGTTTCGATGTGAAATAAATTAGGTGTGTGATTATTGTTATTTGCTCCGGTAGTATACGTAAATATATTTAGATGTTAACTAATTAGTTGTGTAAAAATATTTTAGTTGCTCCGGTAGTATTAGACTATTAGTTGCTCCATTAATATTCTGTAATATATAGCTAGCTAATATATAGACATGTCTAATATTTCTTAGTGTGGGTATATTAAGTTGTTGCTTAATACGTGTATTCGTTGTTGAAAAAAAATAGGTGAGCTGAGATATCCGATGTAGTGAACTTTAGATTTTGCTATGGTCCTGGTACTGTCCAAACAACTGAGATGGGAGCAGATCTGAGTGAATTTACTCATATAGATGTGCCAATGAGCGCACCTCAAACATGGTCAGTCAGTCAGTTGTAAGAATGGATTGCGGCAAATTTAGGTCTTGATACTGAAACACACACCGTCGGTGTTCATGCATTGTGGACACGGTCAAGTTCAATAATTTACTTTTATTTGAGGCCGATAGAGCGAGACTCCGAATGGGTGCGGTGGTTACAAGGTTGTGAACGAAGGGGATGCAATCCTGTTGCTTTAGTTCTTCCCGTCGTGAAGGAGGTCACTGCACATGAAGGCGAGGGTGGCTACGATCCTGGTCATAGCAGTGTAGGGAGGCAGTTATCTATGTCAAATGCTGGAGATGATGGTTACGAACAAGGACAGAGCAGTCAGGTAGAAGGAGGAAATGCTTATGGTTATGAACCAGGGCAGAGTAGTCAGGTAGAAGGAGGAAATGCCAATGGTGATTACAATGGCGAGGTGGACGCTGACGAGGTAGATGGGCACATGCAGGACCAGATGGAAGAAGAAGACACCGATGTTGAAAGGGGTCATGCCGATGATTCTGACGAGTCAGATGAAGAAGAAAATGCAGAGGAGGTCCCGAATCCTGCATCGTGGAATCATGAATTCTCATCTGCAATGACCGTGAATGATGGACATGATTCAGCCTGGCAATATCACCAGAACAATATTGCGACGGGTGCTATGTATCCAAACAAGCAAGCACTGAAAGATGTAATAATTAACTGGGCAATGTCCACGCAAAGGGTTTTCACAGCTCAGGTGTCCAGTCAGAAATTCCTGACAATGGTATGCAAGAACGCAGATTGTCCCGCCAGGGTGCACAGCTTTCTCCCTAAGTATGGCACAAGTTGGGTGATAAGTGACTTAGTTAATCACAGTTGTCTTATTCCCTGCATCCCTTAGGATCATGCCAACCTTTCATCGACGCTTATTGCTTGGTTGTTTTACGATGAGATAGTGCAGGGCAAAGCTATGGAAGTGAAGGCAGTCCAGACAAAAGTCTTCGCCAGGTTCAAGTACAAAATTTCTTATGGCAAGGCTTGGAGGGCTAAGCATGCGGCGCTTGAGAGGAGATTTGGTTCTTATTTTGATGCATATGACTCTGTTGTCCAGCTCCTCCACACCCTGCAGCAGCGGAATCCAGGCACCTATATCGATATCCAAGACATGTTCATGCCAGAGTTCCCAACTATGAGGGTGCTGCATCGTCTCTTCTTCTCTTTCGGTGTATGCATCGAAGCTTTCAGGCATTGCCGACCGGTGATATGTGTTGACGGTACTTTTCTCACAGGCAAGTGCAAGGGTCAGATCCTGATAGCCATAGGTCAAGACGGCCAAAATCAAGTCGTCCCACTCGCATTTGCTTTTGTGGAGAGTGAGAACATTGAAAGTTGGACATGGTTCTTCAGGCAGTTGAAAATATCAGTTGTGAAGGAGAAGCCCAATGTGTGCATCCTTCATGACAGGCATGCAGATATACTCAGTGCGATAAGGACACTGACAAACCCAGGCCCTGAGGAACAAGTTCCATGGCAGGACTTGCAGAGCCGTTGGTGCATGCGCCATCTGGGGGCTAATTTCTTCTCGCAGTTTAGAAATAAGAACCTGATGAATCTGTTCAAAAAACTCTGCAAGCAGAACCAGCTATGGAAGTACAATTTGATACGCGATAGACTTAATGTGTGCACGCAGAGACACGTGAGGTACAGGAAAGCTGTAAGAGATGCAGCGGTGAGGGCACATGTTGAAGCAGTAGCTGCACAGTTGGCAACAGGAACAACGGCCGTGGAGGAGGAGCCTGTTGGGCTATGTGACCTGCCAGGCTTTGACTCACCTGGTACTAGGAGAAGGCTTGGGAGGTCGATTAAAACCTTCGAGCAGTGGATAGAGCATGAGCCTCTAGAGAGGTGGTCTTTGCTACATGACACACATGGAGCACGATACGGTGTCATGACAACAAACCTCGCAGAAACATACAACTTTGTCCTCAGAGGAAACCGGGCATTGCCACTTACAGCCATCGTTGAGGGTATTTTCTATGGCACCGTCAAGTATTTTAGAGGTAGACGTCAAAAAGCAGAGCAACATATCTTCAACAACCCGAATACACGGTACTGTGAAAGAGTCACGAAGTACATGGACAACAAGATGCAAAAAGCTAGATCACACACTATAGTCGCCATCGGTAATAAGAAAGAAGGTTTGAGGTCCGCTTAGCCAACAACAAATTTGGATGTGCAAATGAGTTGAGGACGCATGAGGTGAAAATTGGTAATGAAGCCTGGCCAACGTGTGAGTGCACATGCAACAAACCGAAATTGCTTCACCTACCTTGCTCACATGTACTTGCTACTTGTGGGAAGTTTGGAATGGACGCAATATCGTTTGTGTCTCCATTTTTTCTTAAAGAGTCTGTCCTCAATACCTGGACAGGTGAGCTGATGGGTTTTCGATCAATGGGTAATTTCAACAGCGTCAACCCCGCTGAAAGGCGTTACATTCCAAACCTAGAGCATATGCATACAAGTAGAGGCAGGCGGCATTGTCGGCGCATCCGGAATGATATGGATGAATCTGAAGCAGGAGGTCCGACTAGGCAATGAATTTTGTGCAATGAATTTGGCCATAGGGACACTAATTGTCCCACTTTCGTCATTGGGCGTGGACGAGGCAACCGGGGAAGAAGAGGAGGTAGAGGCAGTAGAGGAGTAAGGGCGAGAGGAAGAAGCTAAGCTAGCAGTAGTATGTTGTGAATTTGTATTAAGTGTGGCACTATGTTCTGAATTTGTATTAAGTATGGCACTATATTCTGAATTTGTATTAAGTGTGGCACTATGTTCTAAATTTGTATTAAGTGTGGCACTATGTTCTGAATTTTTATTAAGTGTGGCACTATGTTCTGAATTTTTATTAACTGTGGCACTATGTTCTGAATTTGTATTAAGTGTTGCACTATGTTCTGAATTTGTATTAAGTGTGGCACTATGTTCTGAATTTTTATTAAGTGTGGCACTATGTTCTGAATTTTTATTAAGTGTGGCACTATGTTCTGATTTTTTTATGTGCAGGAATGTCGGGAATGTAGTTGCTGAATGGGGACATTGATAGGGGTCTTCGTGGTGCAATATGGTATGAGCGCAAGCTTGAGCCTCTGGTCACTCGCACTCCTAAAGAAAACTGGATGATACACCCAGGATGGCTTCAGCGGTACGTGTTTTATTAATTTGCACACTGACATGCATATTAATGGGAGACACTAACTGAAATGTTCTCTGATGAAGGTTGAAATGGGCCGGCCTTTTACCTTTCGCGCGTCTGGTTGAGTCTATCCCGGGTGAGAAACGCATCGCCATCGACGGGTCCTTGCTGAGCTGCTTAGTGGACCGTTGGAGGCCAGAGACCCACACGTTTCACTTCCGATGGGGAGAGATGGTTCCTACTCTGGAGGATGTGTCACTTTTGCTCGGACTACCATTGGCAGGTCATGCCATAGGACCGTTGGACGCACCGGCTGGTTGGGAGCGAGCCCTTACACAACGTTTTCATGGTGTTTTTTCGGATGCTCCGGATCCGGTATGGGAGCATCACGGACCTAAGTATGAGTGGTTGCTTAATTTCCGAGTAATTTCCCCAACCTATTATCTTCAAGTTATCGTGCATATGGTTTTACAGAAAATAACTGCGGCTAACTAAAACTTTCTCTTTGCTTAATGCAGATCCAAAACTTCCGGGCGCCGTTGACTGCGGAACAGATCACTCGGAGCCTGGAGGCCTACTTAATGTGGCTTTTCGGCAAGGTGATGTTCATAGAGAACCATGTCACCACTATTAACGCGCTCTACATCCCTATGGCACTCGAGATAGCGAGCGCTCATACTGCGGATCAGATCAGACAGAGGAGTTGGGGTTCGGCGGTCTTAGCGGCTACATACCGAGGTATGTGCAATTGTTGCCAGCTTACATCGAGAAAGCCAGCCCTTTTTGGATGCCCTCTATTCCTATAGTTATGGTCGTGGGAGAGGTTCTCTATAGGGCGACCAGATGTACGTGTTTGTGAGCCTATAGACGCCATGTTTGATGCTGACGGCATCGACATGCCTACTTTTGGTCTGTGTTGGACACGTCGCGAGGTATGCACCGTGTTATAGTTTAATGCAACTTTTTTCTGCACAAGAGATAGTTCGATGCTAGCGGCTACTAACTTTTGGTTTTCTGCAGAGACGCTTTGCTAGTGATCAGACCAGGAAGGCATACACAGCATTGAACGAGCAGTACGATGCGTACACCGGGGTCATCTGGCAGCCCTACACGGAAGCAGCCATACAAGCGAGATACCCTGGTGGTCTGTCTGTGCTATGCACAAGGGACCGAGATTACTGGATGACAAAATCAAAAATCATCTTCGATGTCTTCGTCGAGGAGATGGCACAACAGAGAGTTATGAGGCAATTTGGTCTTCTGCAGTTGGAGCTGCCTCCCCCTATAGAGAACCCGGTGCCAGCACACATCCACAAGTATTAACTAATTTTTCAATGTTGCATTATCTTTCATAATACTCCATTCGGAACTTTAGGTAATTGTTGAACACACACCACAATTTTAGGACGACAAGGAAGGGCATGACCAGGACAACTGCTGACTGGCTAGTTAGACTAGAGTCGTATGTTATAGAATGGGAGACAGCAAACACACATCTATGGCACGAGAATCACAATTTTGATCTCGATGAATTCAATCTCTATTTGCGGCGCTACATGACCGGAACACGATTACGCATCATTGAGCACTCCCACCCAGAGGAGATACCGGATCCTACTCCGTCGGATATGTACCCGAGCTATGACACTTCGGGCTCTAGGCAGTACGCGGTAAGATATATTTTCTTTAAGTAATGTTGTCACATACTTTAACGTGCAAGAGACATACATTATTAATCGTCATGGAAATTTGCAGGCTACCTTAACACACGAACTCTACCAGAACGTGACCACCTTTGGACGATCACTGTCGTCTGGACCTCTTCTTCAGCATTGTCCGGTGCTACAGCCCTTCTTGGAACGAATTCAGAACAAGATACGGACTGTGTACGAGGCTATCACGTGCACCCGGAGAATCGACGTTGTTCAGCACCAGTAGCAGCAGCCGCGTCACTCCATGCACCGACATCAACCACGTCCACGTCTAGCACATCAGCCGACAACCAGTCCACCCCGTCCTAACCAACCTAGCAGTTCAACGTGGCAACAACCACAACAATATGGTCCCACGTCGAGCTTCATGTTTTCTCCACAGCCATAGCAACACGGTCCCTCGTCGAGCTTCGTGTTTTCTCCACAGCCACAGCAGCACGGTCCCTCATCGAGCTTCGTGTTTGAGCCAGAGCAGCCGCCACAACCAGCAGGTAAGTGTCTTCATTTTTATTGTTTTCAATTTTAATTGAGGCGACCTCATTCTTCATGACTAAACGTTCCATCGTGCAGGAGCCTACGGATATCATGCGTCTATGTCAGCATCACATGATACATGGGGGAGTGATCAACATCCCGGGGAGAACATACATGCTTAGATGTCGCAACACACCTAGTGGATGAACATGTATTCGACTCCTCCACCAGGCCCCACACAGGATACATAGCATGACCAGGGAGAGTCTGAAATTCTTCCTCGTAACATTAGGCCACCTAACAGGTTGGGATGGTCGCCGCTTCCAGATCCGCCTCCCCGCCAGGCCAGACGTCGTCACTGACGCTTCCATCTATCAGTAGAGACATGACCATCTACTTATGTATGAGACTTATGTCTATTCTATGTATGAGACAAATGACTATGTACTTATGTATGAGACATATGCCTACTCTATTTTAGTACTCTGTTATCCGAACTACAACATCATATTTAGATAGAACATAATGCTCGTACAACAAGACAGTATAAACAACTAGATATAACTACATCTAAATTAACGGTGCATACGACTAAACTTACAACATACATCACAAAAACTACATGAAGTCATCATCGTCATCCTCCGTCGATGCAGAACTCTTACCCTTCGAGGATGCAGAACTCTTACCCTTGGACGATGCAGAACTCTTGCCCTTCGATGATGCAGTACTCTTGCCCTTGGACGATGCAAAACTCTTGCTCTTTGACGACGCAGAACCCGGAAGCGGCGGCATGAAGATATCATCTTCGTCCTCGCTCTCATCAGTCCATAAAAATGGATGCTTTTCTGCAGTCCTTCTGAAAGTTTCACTCTCCGGCTCCACTACCTTCTTCCACCTTGCATGCAACCTAAGAAGTTCTATACGTACCTCCTCGTAGGTCCTTTCAGGCCACCCAGACATACGTAATTCGTGAGCCAACTCATTCATTATGGTGTTACTACCGGTGAGTTCGTCCCATGGAACTATCCTATTGTCCATCCTGAAATCGGTAGCTAGCCTCAGAAGAGTCCTGCTCATCTCAGGATGAAAACTACGATCGAAAGGATAATGGGACATCTCAACTACACTACACTGGAATGCTTATCCTCCTCTGTCTGAAGGGGGTTTTATAGGTAGGGATGAGAAAATGGCAGGAAAGAACGACTGCGGTATGGCGGGAAACGGGTGGCGGGAAAGAGTTGGCGTGAACATATGGCGGGAAACGGGTGGCGGGAAAGAGTTGGCGCGAACATATGGCGGGAAAATATTACGGGCACAGGGTTGCACGAAATACGTCATAGTTTATAAAAAAATTCAGGAAGCGTTCGGGAAAAAAATGGTGGCATGCACCGGTCGGCCCACAGCAGGCCAATTAGTCCCTGTCGGCCCGCAGCTGGCCAATTAGTCGCTGTCGGCCCACAGCAGGCCAATTAGGCCCTGTCGGCCCACTACTGGCCGACTGGACCTGAACTGGTGGCCGACAGGCCAATCGGCCAGCAGCAAGCCGATAGGGTCTTAGTCGGCCTGCTGTGGGCCGACTAGGTCCACTCGGTCGGCTGCGGGCCGACGGTGTATTATTTTCGAAAATTATTTTTTGAGCGTAATATTTGTGCAAATTAATAAAAAAATGTATTATTTAAAAAAAATTAGCCTTTTTATGTACACTGAACTTTTCTATATATAACACATACTGAACAACTTTCTAACACATATATTTGTATTTTTTTAATCAGTTTAGAAATATCTAGCTTCTAAAAAAACAGCCATTTTTTTGTGGTGAAAACCATCTCAAAAGCATTGAATTTTTGTTCAAAACTGGGTCAGGGTAGAGTGCGTCGACCAATTTGTGCTGGGTTTCTGCGTAAGCTCCCCTGTTCGATGCCCATGGGCGTCATACAGCCTATTTTCTATATCGTGCCAGTCCTACTTATTTTTTTTTGAGAATCTCACAAAGCTTTATTACTGAATCATAATGTTCATAGGTACAAAAAGAAGATCGCCGGGTTGTCCTAGCCAAGTGTGTCGGCCAAACCCTAAAGATAACGCATGCTTTGCGAGATTATGGGCCTCCGTATTGGAGGTCCTATACTCATGAGTAAACGAACATGAAATAAAGGTAGTTGCTCTAGTCTTGATTTCCTCGACAATGGCTCCAAATTCTGCTGAGCTTCCCTGTCTGATTGCATCTACCACCACCTTGCAATCGGAGGCAACAAGTAAATGGTTGATATAGAGATCTTCTGAAAGTGCTAATGCCTCCCGAACAGCTAGTGCTTCTAGCACTTGGGGGTTGTGCAGTCCTCTGAAAACGAGAGCTGACGCTCCCATGAACAAACCTCTCTCATCCCTGCAAACCACACCAACTGTGCCAAACGTACCTGGGCGTGACACGGCCGCGTCCACATTGAGTTTGTAGTAATCTGTTGGTGGTGGAATCCACGTACGGGGTCGTGGTACTGCTATCCCATGTGCTTCCTCCTTCTTCTTCTTCAAAAACTCTATGTCTGATAAGTAAGCTTTGATGAAGTTGTCAGTGGCAAACGGAGTCTGGTATATATCCTCATGTATAGCTTTCCGTCTTGCACTCCAAATCGCCCATAAAGTAACAATCATCAACTGAAATTGCTCCGGTGGAAGAGAGTCATTCATGGCAAAGAGCCACAGCCGTGCGTCAGGTTCTGAGGTTGCCCACATGTGCTCGACCATCTCGGCTTCTGAAAGTGCCCACACACACCTAGACACATTACACTCCAGCAAAGAATGCCGCCAGCTATCCTGCCCTCCGCATAGGGATCAAGCACTCGTAGTGGCCATATGACGATGGTTTAGGACATCTCCCGTAGGGAGTGAGTGTTGCGCCAATCGCCAAGTGAAAAGGCGCAGTTTCGGTGGCACTGACATGTTCCATAGCGAGTTCCACCCCCTCATCTCATGTTCAGAGTTGGAAGGATCCTCCCTTTCCTCCAGCCATGCCTCGCGCCCAATCTTGATCTTGACAATCATCTTATAAGCTGACCGTACAGAAAAACGCCCCCTTGGATCATCATTCCATGCCAGTCCTACTTATTGGCTTATTTCCAGTTGGCACTCTGCGATCCCAGCGCACATCGTAGTGAGTGGGCCAGAAAATGTAGCGCTGTGATATTTTTTTTTCTAACTATACAAAATCTTTTCACCAACCGGTTTTGTCAGAAAAAAAACAACTATTTTTGTCAAGCTTCAAAAAGCTTATGACCGATTTTGCCAGTTTTTTTGTTTTCTTCATATTTTTATTTTATTTTCTATTTTGACTTTTTTTAAATCCATGAATTTTTTTTGAAAACGTCAATGTGTTCTGGTTTCCAAATTCTTGATTTTTTAAAAAAATTCTGAACCTTTTTTGGAAAAGGTGAACAGCCCTTGGAATTCTGAATAATTTCCACATATACGATTTTTTTAAAATTGAAACCATGAATTATTTTCATAGATCCTTTTTTTCAAAGTTCTGAATAATTTCCAAATATATGAACAATTTATAAATCCACCATTGTTTTTGAAATTCATGTACTTTTCTATAAAAACAGGAACTTTCTTAGAATTTCATGTACTTTTCAATCAAATCCATGTGTTTTTTTAATTCATGATTTCCTTTCAAATTTTAAACTTTATAATTTGTTGTAAGCGGTCAATGACTGTCGGTCGACCGGCCTATGGTGAAGGGCCGACCAGTCAAATGCCAGACTGAGTGAACCAGCTGGAGTCCAACTCGCGCTTTCGGGTGCTTAAGGCCGTTGGTTCTATACACCGCCTGTACCGACTTTCGAGCTAGTTTTCTTTGTTTATTTTCTTGTTATATTTTGTTTTCTTCATTTTTTTTATTTTGTTAGTTTTCATAGGTTAGTTTTGTAATACATGTCTACCCTTTCTCATATATGTTGTACATTTTTATATGTATTTAAAACATTTTATATTCCCATTTAACAATTTCCAAATATATATTAACATCATTTACAAAAACATATTTTGATTTTTTTTTTTCAAATGCATGTTGTAACATTTCATCAAAGCGAAAAAACATTTTGTTTATCTATGCACATTTTTCTAACTACAAACCTTATTGTACAACTATATACTTTTATGTTAAGTCTAGATGATAAAAAGTTCAGTAGTCCTCGGATATATTTGTATGCCCAATAATGCGTTAAGGCAGTGGCGGCGTCAGCCTTATAAATCTGTGGGGTCAATGGGTTTTTTTAGATTTTTTTCTTCATGATGAACAGTACTCCTAGGCTATTTTCCAAAAAAAAACGGTGGGGTCGGCTGACCCCACAGCTTACACATAGAATCGTCGTTGCTTTAAGGTCATTTTGTTCTGGTCCAGAGTAGTCATGCAAGCAATCAAATGACTCATATTAATATTTGGTGGGCGCATATGGACAACCAAATACATATATTTGGTGTTGATGCAACCTACCTATCAATCTATCATGCCCAAGGTCTCTCGCGAAGTTTTATGGATCAATACCTCCTATAATTCAAGTGCACCTAGGCTCTTAAATGTTTCCACCTTTCCCTACTCTTGCTTGTTTTTTCTCTTTTCGTGACTCTTCATTCTTATTCTGCATCTATAAATATATACATACACGCTTCTATTTTTAGTCATGTGACACACAAGCTCAATGCTAGAATGCATTACTGTCTTAGGTGCCCAAGCAGAGGCAGAATTTTGTA